GTCACCCTAGTGGACTGGTCTGGTCTTCCTGACTCTCCCCTGTGGCTGGAGCAGTCACACACTGAGAGGAACAGTCAATGGCCAGTTGTAGGTAGGCCAGAGCTTTTCTAGAGTTATATCAATCTCACTGATTAATCAGTGTTAGCTGTTGAGTCTAACAACTTATTTTATGCAGGAGGTGCAGGGATGGCAGAAGCCCTTTAGCCCCGATTAGGACCTCTAAGACAGAGAAGTCTCTGTTGTAGCATTTTGAATATATCCCCACCGCCCCTGACCTTTCTAGGTCCTCAAAACCCTTTTGGGATCTGGCCAGGTAGGAATCTCTGCATCTGCGCCTCTGCTCTTTACCCTCCACAGTGATTCTCAATTTTGACCAGAGATTAGGGACCCTTCCCTAAACAGTAAAATAAATGTTTGATTTATCACCTTAAAAAAATTAAAAATTTTAAACTAACTTTAATTGTAGCAGGTTCCTTTAATCTTAAGTACATAGGCACTCCGATAGGCTAGAGATGAACGGTCTCAGAGTCGGAGGCAGTCTTTGAAACACGAGTCCACGTAAGCTTTCATTTACTTCTCTTGTTTTTCACCGTAAATCCTTGACTTCTTGAATCTGGGGCTGCCTAGCCTGCTTTCTGCTTAATCCTCCAAAATTCTGCACTTGAAACTACCTGTTTCTTCTTGTCTTTCTCATCTCAACTGTGGGAGTCTTTTCCCAATTATCCTGTCAAAAGTAGAGGAGAAAGATTTGAAGAAGTTAAAGACATAAGGCACAATATAATCGAAGGACTATTATGCAGACATTTTCTCATTATAATACATTTTACACATGGTACTGATCTGGTGTCTATCAATGCCAATGGAATGGTGGCAAGTGTAAGGGGAGTGTAGAAGGGGTTTATGAGATATAGAGAGATCAGGGAAGGCTTCTTGGAGAAGATGGGATTGGGAAGGGCGGAGGATTTAGACATGTCCTTCCTGGTGAGGGAAGGACAAGAAAATGATGTGTTGTGGCATTTATGAAATATTTGACAAATACAATGAACAAATTGAAATAAGTGAATAAGTAAATTGTGTCTGGAGGACCAGTTAGGAGCCCATAATAGAATGGTCTGGTTTTTAAGTGATAAAACAGCAAACTTGAGAGGGTTTGAGAGACCTCATGTGAGTGGATCAAAGAGCATGTACAGGGCTCCTGCCCTGGGTTTGATATCTGAGGCTCCAGAATTCAATATTTATACCGCAAAGCAAATCCATTAAGACAGAGTCACAGGTACGGGACTGTAACTGTGCATATTTATGTCTAAATATTTATACATCCATACATATAAGTCTGAATAATTTGGAAATAAGCAGGGAAATGTGAAGGTTGTCTTGTTCCACATATTCACTTGGAGTACATCTAATAAGTAAGAAGCTTATTTCCTGTAATGCACTGGGAGCTAGGACCTATTCAAAGGAGAAACTAGCTGAGATAATCCTGGAGGCACAGATAGGAGTGGTTTGTCTGGATTTTAAGCAATGATTGTTTCACTGAGCTCTGTCCTTGTTTAACTATATAGAGAGCGTAAATTTTATTTCTGACCAGTGCATTTTTTAATTTTTTATTTTATTTATTTATTTTTTTAAAAGATTTTATTTATTTATTTGAGAGAGAGACTGAGAGAGAGAGAGCATGAGAGGGGGGAGGAGAGAGAGGGGAGTCACCCAGGCGCCCTGATTTTCCTTTTATTAGAGGAATTATAATTCTGAAATTCAGTGTTTTGTTTACATTTGTAATAATTTTCTCCATGAAACCTGTTCTGATTATTTTAGTCCACATTTATCTCTCTATGGATAAAATATAGCATCTAATTCTATATAATCTTAAAATTCACACTGTTTGGGGCGCCTGGGTGGCTCAGTTGGTTAAGCGACTGCCTTCGGCTCAGGTCCTGATCCTGGAGTCCCTGGATCGAGTCCTGCATCGGGCTCCTTGCTTGGCAGGGAGTCTGCTTCTCCCTCTGACCCTCCCCCCTCTCATGTGCTCT